AATTTTCTGTTTTACATCTTCAAGTCGACATTCTTCATACGCCCCAAATCGTGTTCGTGTTTGGAGGTACGCAGCTGTACAATATCTCGGACGTGGTGAACGGCGCAGCCTCGCTTCTTTTAGATTGGCATCCAGTATCTCAATAAATGCGGGAGACGGGGTTCGACTCCCGGCGTCCGAATTCCACCACAATCCGTGGGAACTTTTTTTTTGCAGTGGTCGTTCTACATGTAATAGCAAAAAGTGTTTATGCCTGACATGTATGTGGTTTCTTCTGTTCTTTCTCTCTTCAAGTCATTTACGGGCAGGGATAGCCACTGAATTGCGACTCGTACAGAACGACATTAATATCACTGCATTCCGTGGCCCCGTCGGCAGAGCCGGCGACATGGGTGGACGTCGGTCGACCTCTGCCGACAAGGCCCGACATGTACCGAAGTGGTGTCGACAGACTCTGCCGACTATGGTCGGCCGAGGTCGACCGACCTCAACCCAGGCAAACAGACCTCGCCGACGTAGGGCCGGAACGCAGTGTATTCGTGAATGCTTTACGAACACACATTCCTATCTCTTGATCACCAAAGAAGATTCAAAGTTGAACTCATCCTGGTAGTCCAGCACCCAAGTAAGATAGTAACTCGGACGTGGTGTGCACAGCGCGCATCCGCTCACACTAAATAGGACTCCCATGTGATGCGGGAGACCTGGGTTCGATTTAGTCTCTTATAAACAGGGGCTACAATAAAAAAGTGCTCATACCTGCACATTGTTGTAGTTCGATTCCGGCGTCCGAATGCTATTGTGTCTTTTTTTCACAGCTTTCTCAAACACTGGTTCATTTGATTCGAGATAATTTCTAAATTATTTTTGACAGGGACCTTCGCAGCTCCTCTCTCTCTTTGAGTATTCATACTCAACACTATTTATCTGACACTCGCGCCCAGAAAATCACCTTCACAACCACCTCGGACGTGGTTCAAGGCCGCACACCCGCTAGCAGTGGAAGCGAAAGAGATATTAATGCGGAAGGTTGGGTTCGATTTCCGGCTTCCGAACACTGGGTACTAATACTATTGTTTGGCGTACTCTCAGTTCTACTTTCTTTTTACTCCAAAAAAAAGTCCGCATTACTACTCCCTCGTGAACATTCCTCAGCATCGTATGAATGTTCATCTCTAAATCGCGTCCAGAAACTCACCCCCGTATTCTAGCACCAAGGTCAGAGACTAACTCCGACATAATGCACGGCGCACACCCGCTCGCACTGATTAGGATGGGCTCGACTCCCGGCATCCGAATGAACGAGGCTAGGTTTGATTTTGTTCTCTTCTTTTTCTGGATTGTTTTTCAGAGGTTTTTTTACTTCATTTCCTTCAAGTTGTTTGCATGAATCCTAATTTCCTGTGATAGGAACCTCGCAACTTGTTCGTGTTCCAAGCGTTATTCATCAATCTGACTCGCGCCCAGAAACTCGCTCTCACAGTCTATCACCCGCTCAGAGAGTAACTTGGATGTGGTGCATGCTGCCCACCCGCTCGCACCTCGTTCCAACTGATCAGGATGCGACAAGCCCGGGTTCGACGTCGACGTCTGGGCAGTTGTTCGTTGTCGTCTTGCCGTCCGCCGGAGCAGCTGGTTCCCATATTGTCTTTTTTTTCTCTGATTTCCTTATGCAGGTCAACCACTTCATTCGCTCGATTTGATACTGTTCCGGGGCGGCACGCAACGGTTGACTGAGCGCGTTCTTAGAAGATCTCTTGCACCTTTCTCCTGAAGTCCATGTATGTCTGGTCGGCCCTGAATAATCCCTGACTTACGTCTTACGTTTAGGTCCGACTGAGTGTTTTGCCGTCGGGTTGAGCTTTAGCGGCGTCCCTTTGCCTGTACGGGTGTCATCCGCCGAGCGACACGACTACTCAGCTCCTTTCGTGAGTACTCGGTTTCTCTACTGTGTGCATTGTCATGCAGTGTGTACATGTCCAATCCGTAGCCCCAATGGTGAACTCTTCTTCCGTCCGCCTCAGCCACCCTCGGGCGCAGCGGGACCACCTCTCCCGAGTCTATACTCCCATCATGAGTTATCGTTTCTCCCCCGCTGTCCATCAACTTAATCGTCCGCGCTCAGACTTGATCCACATACAAAAGTGTTGTGCGCCAAACATACCTCTCATGACGCGCGATAGAGTTTAGCGAGATCGCTCAGCTGTGGAGAATATTTTCATGCCAACACTGATTATCTATATTCGGCTACTATCTCAATTCTTGAACTGTGATACTTTCTGACGCCCCCGCACAAACCACGAGTTCGAACCGCGTATGTGTGTGTGAAAACAATCTCGGGCACCCTGGCGACCCTACGAACCCCATTGCCTCCAGCGACGACTGTGGAGAAGGAGTCCAGGATGGTCAAAATCACCAATTGCCTTCTTATAGTCCCTTCCCTCTTGCGTCTCCGCCTTGCGTTTGACGGGCTTGATGGTAGCTTATGGAACGAGAGCCTGAGGGCGGACATGTCACCTTGTTTCAGGATGTTGGAAACTTATGGAAGTACCTTGACAAAGTTAAACGGTGTATGGACAACCTCGGCGTGCCCGCAATCCGCAACCTGAAACTCCTCGCATCTCTGAAAAGCTCAAATAAGACTCTAGAACACGCGAGAACCGGGAAGAGATACATACGGCGGTCAGCGTAGCGGTGAGATTTTTCTCTTCGTCGAGCGTCTCGCGGAGCTCGGCAAGCGCGATCTCCTGCTGCAATTGAATCCTGAGAGACTAGCGGTGATGATCGATATTGACTCCACGCAACGAAACACATGTTGCGTACCTTATTGAGCTTCGCTTTGTGGGTTGCCAAGGATTCCCTCAGCGAGCGAACTGTCTCGCGGAGAACATCATTTTCGTGTGAAGTTCAGTGATAGTGTTGTTGGCAGCGATGGAATCCTGATTTGGTCTGTCAGTAGACTAGTAGTTGGCAAGAATGAGATAGACGAAGCCCCACTAGATTGATGCGCTCTTTCTTGATGTCGACGGTGTCTTTCAACGCAGCGACTTGGTCTTGCAAGGTAGCGTTCGAAGCCTCGAGCTGGTTAATTTCTGTACGTGCATTCTTGAGGTCTTTGTTGGCAAGCATAGTGTCCCGGCGCTACACAAATACCGTATCTCAGGATGATCTCAAGAAAGAGATGCAGAGACACGTACCGCGTCCTTAAGGTGTCGCTTCAGGGTAGCGACCTGTTCCTTTGCATCTCGAAAATCATCAACCACTTGGCCGAGCTGGTCAACGAATGCTGTGGTACCCATCGCAAGCTGGATCGGGATAGCTGGAACGCAACGACGTCGGGGATGAGAGACAGAAAGGACAAGCAGTCCACAACAAAGAGCCAGGAGACGAACGTAAACTGCGGAGATCTCGTTTGAACTGTTCTAAAATTGGTTGAATTCTCAAACCTAAATTGAAGGCTGATCTGAATTAGAACTGAAACATGAAGTAGCAGTCACATTCAGTCCCCAGTGAGGTGCAACTGAAAACGAGAACTACATAAAGAACCAAGAATCCAGCGAGAAACCTCGACACTGACGCACGATAAACAGATGAGGGTGCAAAAAGGAAAGCGGGTATGCAACGTGTGCAATGTTCCTGTAGCATTCCCACGCTCGAGGATATCTGCTTTCTGACTCCCACACCACTGCAGTGGGCAGCAGTTCAGATCTGTATTGCGTCCCTGAAATTCTCGGATCTGACTAACACTCTGAATATCAATGTAACCAAATTTGTACTGAACTTCAAAACTTCGAAAGATCGGGAGAACCTCCAACTTGCAACGGAGTTTATTGGACCTGCCGTTACCAGGGTTCTGATCATCTGTGTTTATTTCCTCCCTTCATGTGACGCTTTACACTCTCAACATGCGGATGACACCCACCATTGAGGGGAGACTTTGGGAACCTTAAGGTGAGCACAGTTATTTTTGCGGTCTCAATAAAATCGCAGACTTAGCCCGCGCGCGGACCACCACCTTGCAAGTAGCCGCCCACCAGACACTCTCGGTAAGCCGGTACGATGCGGCTTTCTATGTCGCTCTTAAGCCAATGGTGTGTCGTGTCCGTTTCCTACATTCCTAGATGAAGTTTCTAACCCTAATTGTACGTGAGGCGCGAAGGAGTTCGCGTGCGCTCTCTTCGACGTCGTGGATGAACCGGCAACCCCAAAATTGGACGCAGAGATCAAACGATGTAAACAGGAAAGGGCATACTCTACAACGCACTCCTTTCTCCCTCAGTGTCGTCTGCGGTGATTATTTTATTCTGACTCTCGTCGACAATTATTTCTTACTCACCAACGCTTTCTGCGTCCCATTCACTGTGTATAACCATTCAGGCTGGGAACAAGATCAAATGTCAACCGTGTGAAATTCTGACACCAATGCGGGTTTCCAAGTTCATTTTGTTCTGGACCAAATTCATGTTCAGGTACATAATCTCACCCACCTGTCAGACGTCGCCACAGCAAGAGCCGCTGCATCCACTATAGAGGGAGTCCCGCCAGTGGGTTCTAGTCCCAGCGTCCGAATAGGTCGGGCTCAAAAGATTTTCTCGTTTTTTTTTTCCTGTCCTCCTTCTTACTGTTTTCTCTCTTCGGCTGCTTCAAGAACTCGAATGTCCGGTGGTCAGTGTGTCACATCGGCCAGCCTATCGTAGAATGTCCATGTTACCATTTATTTAGTTACGCATACCACAGAATACATCGGACGTGATGTATGGTACACCCCCGCTCGCAATAAGCTGTCCCAATCTTTCGTGCCAAGAGCCCTGGGTTCGACTCCCAGGGTCCGAATAATCAGCGGTGCCTTTTTTTGTTCTCCTGGGCTTTCAACGGCGTTCCTCATCCCATGTTTGTTCAGAGAGAGTGAGCATGAAGGTGAGCTTGTAGCGCGCGAGTTCCCACCAAATTATATCGAATAATCTCACCTACCAATCCAATTCTCAAACCTAGTGAGTAAATCGGACGTGGTGCATTGGTCACGCCCCCGTACAATGGCGAAACATTCTTCACTGTTTGTAGCGGGAGTCCTGGGTTCGACTTCCAGCGTCCGGATAGGCTAGACCTTCGTGCATTTTCCTTTTTCTTCCTTCTCTTCTTCTGCTGACTACTCCAAAAACACTGATCAGACTTTATAATCGGGCCAGGAGGAGGTGGAATGGGTCCTCCACCGAATAATTCATGTTCAGGCAAATAATGTCGCCCACCAATACGAGTAAGTGGAATGGAACTCCGACGTGGTGCACGGCGCGCACCCTTTCGCATTCGGTTTGTGGTTCCGTCGATGCAGGTTCGAATCCCAGCTTCCAAATTCCGCAATCAGAGGGGTCTTTTTTTCCCTTGGTTTCACAGGTTCCTTAGCACGGATTCAATTTTTTCTGATAACAATCCTGGTAAGCACTGAAGAGTTCGTGGACCTGCGGTTGTCCACACTACTGCATTGATTGGGCCAACCAAGATTCTAGGCATTTCAACTTTCCGTCGCACTTCCAGCTGCACCCCTGGCCACGTCTTCAATTCACAATACTAATTACTGCACCTGCTGCCGACAGTTTTATAACAGTACGTCATCGCGTCCCACAATCATGCGTTTACACTAACCACACCTGGGCTGCGCAGACGGAGCCGAGTACACGACTTGTGACAGCCTTTTGAACAAGTCGCCCAGCCAGAGTTCGAAATCAATACAGCTGCGGGGGTCCCGCTCGAAAAGATAGTTCTTGGCAAGCCCGTTTCGCTGGCCGACGCTACGACCTTGGCCACCTGCGTCCAGCAGGCGACACAGAAGAGTTGGAGTTGGAGACATTTTCTTGTCGCATGAGGTTGTGCTAATTGGTTGATTTTCGCAGACTCGGGGCTCATGTATTGGGCGGTAAGCAAGCCGGTTTATTGCCAGGCCGCCAGTTGCTTATTTTTGAGCGCTACAGTATTCCGACACCGTGGCCGCCAGTACAAGAGGCACGCAAGCTGGCATGGCCGGTCGGAAACTGAAGCCCTCCAGAACGGGCAGTGGCGCAGTAGCATTTTGGAGTATCGAGGAGAAAGCGAAAGCGCTGTCGGAAAAAACTATTATTCAAGTAGTCAAGGAATCATCACAGTCACCTTTTTCATTTCTGTTCGACTCTGCTGCTGTTGGGTGAAAACCAATGTTTCCCTTGAAAAGTCGAAAAGGGACAGAAACCCCAAGGAAAAACAATAGGAATACAAGAGAAAGGGAGCAGAAAAGCGCGGAAAAAGTAACCATTCCACCCGGGTATTTTTTCGAGACCAAAGAGAGGGAGAAACGGAGAGGAAGGAGAAAAAGGGCAACTACGAATGGACCTCATCGTGGTTGTTCGACTTCTAGTTCAGTGTGTGCGAGTTCGGATTCATTTTCTGCGAGTTCTGTCAAAAGATGAGGGGGTATTGCCGACGTTTGCATATCACCGACCACCATCACTCTGAGTATTGCGAGCTAAGCCTGCGGAACCTAAGATGTTCCGGAGTTTGCTCAGACGCCCAGTTCCAGCAGGGCATCATGTTCGATTGCAATCGGGTCTGTAGCAACTGGGAATCCTCGCGTCGACTCAGAGGAAGGGTATCGCCATAGTATCGTTGTTAGGGACACGGACACAACGTTCCTTGAATGATAAACGGCACACTGTACCGCGGGTAATTTGCTATATCCAAGCTCGATATTTATTCCATGATATCAGCTAGAATTAGTACAACAACGAGGGCCCGGTAATCTGAAGCAGCGAATGACCTCTGGCAGTCATTTCATAAGCCAACCCGCTGTAACGAGGAACCCCAAAGCCAGCACCATGCTCGTCATGAAGCGCTGACCACGGGTCTTTTGCTCGCGCAGCATCTCCTGCTGTGCGGCCCATGCGGCGGCTTGTTCTCTGGGATCCGGGGGCTTGTACCGCTGCGCTGGATGCTGATGGTGCCGATCGTTTGCACCGGGGAGAGGCGAGTGCGAGGGAGGCCGCCGCGGAAAGGGCGTTTCCAGCGGAGACGTATGGGGACGTCGACGCGAGGCAGAAGAAGACGGTGAAGAAGAAGCCTGAGCTGGGCGTGAAGCGCGGCGGAGGCGCGCTGCTGCATCCGCGAGGTGGCGAGACTGAAGAGTAGATGGTGCCTGCGCCACAGGTGCAGGGAGGGTGTTATCATACGCGCGGCTGGATCGTAAATCAGTTCATTTCCCTACACATATATAGCAAACGCACCGAGAGACAGGATCACGGAGGATGTTGTACGCTTCAGTGATCTCGTGAAATTGCGGCTTCACTTTATGATGAGGGACATCAGGGTGATGTTCCTTGCTCAGCTGAGGTCTTCACAGTTAAGCCCCGCGTTCCTCTACACCGATAATCCAACTCACAGCGAAGAAAGCTGTCTGCGCAAAGGACACGCAATTCAGCTTCACCCGACGATATATGACGGTACACACCTTAATCTGATCCGTGGAAGCCTCCCGACGTACTCCAAGTGTTTCATAGTGCGTACCCCGCCGGCACCCCGTTGAGGAGAGCGCTCGGCGGTGCATGTCGCGCGAGCAGGTGTGGAGTCAAGTTAAGCGCCGAGGTTGTGTGGTCAAAGCCTCCGAACCAAATACGGCCAAGCCGCGACAAGCAGAGTTGAAGTGTAACTTGGTTCAAATATCCACAATGACTTTGAAGGTTCGTAGAGGATTTTAATAGTCATATAATAATACAATTGAGTCATATATTAAAAATACACCTGGTTACTGGCTAGCGATAATACTGCAAGCCCAATTTGCATCGTCGACACCTCAATCTTCTTCGTTTGGATCGTACTCCCTGGACGTAAAAACTAGGCGGCCCTGCTGCATCCCGGAATTTAATATCGTGATAACTTGATCCTTTAACTGGCGCGCATGTCCTGGGACCCACAACAGCGCGCACTCGAACGGCTCATCAACACTGGCAAGTAAGCTCCGCTGGACGACGAATTCCAGGAGGACATCGTCGGTGAACGTGCCCAGAGTTTTGAAGTCCACGATCTCCAGGTTCGGAATGAAGCATTCCGCCGGGGAACCTGTGCCGGGGGTGATTCTTTTCAGCAGGGAATCGGTGACGACGTGATTTGCGGGTTTCCCGGGGAGGTCCTCAAGCCCGGGATGGTCTGAGATGAAGAGGTACTGAAGCAATGGCAGATCAGCCAGGCATTGCAGCAGGTCGCGTTCCGTGATCATCACATCGTGGAGGGAGAGTGATTTGAGCGTAGTCGGACTCCCGGAACGTAGCAAGAGTGAGAGCCCTTCCATATGCGGCCAATACAAAGGCTGTCCGGATCCTTGTACACCGTAGAGGTGCAGCCGCTGCATCGCCGGCAAAGTGAGCGCGCTAAATATCTCGGCAAGTACGCGGTGAGACTGATATCCCGTGTGCTCCATGGAGCAGATGTCGAGTTCCTCGATGTGTGATACGACAGAAGGAAGGTCCAGTGGCAGGGCAGCGATGAGTGTCTCAAGATTTAACTCGACGTGCAGTTCCGTGTCCTGAAGCTGATATCGATCCATCGACGATAACAACGACGGAAGATCGTCGGGCCCGAGGCCGCTGAACGTACAGCAACTAAGTTGCTCGAGTGGCAACTGTGCCACCGCCGAAAGCGGCCCACAAAAGTCCAGTCTGCGTAATCGCGGCGCATGCGAGAAAAATTTGGCCACATTTATCAACGTTTCTATATTTTCGTTCTGGGCCTCTATACAGAGCGTCTCCAGCAGCGGGAGGCTCCCTGCCACCGCCGAGAGATTCCCTAGCATTTCACACTCCACCATGAAGGTGGCGGAACGCCATCTGGCTGCGGAAGTCGCAAGGGTTTGTAGGGAGACTGGGTAGCATTCTCCGCTCCCATTCACCTCGATGGTCAGCGGTGTCTGCTGCCCGCGGGCCAAAGCGAGATTTAGCAGCTCGACCATCCGATCATGCGCAGAGCTCGCGCGCGTCGACTCTGTTTGGAGGGTCCAGCATCGCAGATCGAGGGTTATCTTCGACCACAGCGTCGGCGTGCCAAGTGCGACCTGCCGCCACTGCGTGCAGACCTGCGAAAATGCGACGAGGTCCCCACCCGCGATGCGCCGCAGCTCTTGCCTGGCCTCGTAGTCCCAGAACTCAGGGAGGATTGGGTCCTGGCTCCATTTCCTCGGCTCCTCACACAGCTTGAATATTTCTACCAGGATCTCTTTAGGTAAACGACGGATGGGCGCGTCGACGACACTGAGGCATTGGGCGTAGAGCTGCTGGAGTGCATCGCGGCCGGAAATCAGCTCCTGGAAGACTAGATCGAGCCGTTCCATCTCCTCGTCGTATCGCGCGAGTTCTGCTGGAATGGCGGAAATTAGGGCGCGCATGCCCGGGGAAACCCTGCGATGCGCGCAATTGGTCCGCAAAATCTGCAGGAGCTGCGCCGAGAGACTGGGGCTCGGTAGGAGAGCCGACTCTTTGAATGTGCTGTCGCAGGCATTGCAGAGGGATATTCCTCGCGGAGGTGGCATAGCGGAGGAGAGGAAGAACTTTCGAGGCTGATGTCCACACACGGCCAAACAACGCGTCCAAGCGTTGAGATCACGTGCTCGATGCGCCTATTCTTTGTGACTCAGTGTGAGTGAGTTGCAAGTTTCTCATAATAATGGAATTTCACGGACGTTCGACGATAGGTGCAAAGACTGTAATCTTGTTGCCAATTGCGGAAAAAATTGAGTCAATATTTTTTGATACAACCAGAAGGACTTCCACAAAAATCGCAAGCACGGTCCCGAGTACAACATGCGAGGTACGAGCACTCTATTGTTGTAGCGTCTGTTTATAAGAGACTAGGTCCCGAGGAAAATATTGATGCCTGAGGCAATTCCAAGATTCAAATCCCGCTTGGGTGGGAATGAGTTGAGTATCAGCCCATAGAAGGGAGCAACGAACGACCTAGATACATCGGAAATGTAAGCAACTACGATTAGATTATTTCTTCCTCTTGAATGGCCATCAACATCTGCATCGCATTCGTCGGTGCCCACAGCTGAAGGGAAATTATTGTCAGGTAGAAAGGATAAA